TTACAACAATAAAAGCAAGTAGTTTGTTTTATGAAATTGCCTTTGAAATTTCTAAAAGATTGTTTTCTATCAAAAACTCTTTCACTTGATTTTAATGGAATGTTCATACTTTGATTAAAACCAAGTCCACTTCTATCAAAAGCATGTCTTTCCTTTCCCAAAATGATATTCAAATTTGCATTTCCATTTGTGAATTTTGCAAGAGAGTTTTTCAAATTAGCATTTTCTTTTTCCAAAACCTTGCAACTTTCACAATCAACTTTTGAAGAAGGGGAGGTTTTCACAATGAGCTTCATTGAAGTTTAAAATTGTTTGAAGATTTTCATGTTCATTTTTCAAATTTTCAAGCTCTTGTCCAGCTCTAATTAAAGAATTTTCATACCATGACAGCTTGTTTTTAAGCTTTGAATTTAAGGCATCTAATTTCACAGCCTCTTTGTGAATTTGAATGAAAGCTTCAGCCATCAAACATAAGTTGTTTTCCAGCAAACATAAGTTGTTTTTCTAAAATTTAGATTCATCATTTGTTATGATTGAGTCATTGTCTTCCCAAGCTATGTAGGCTCTTTTTCCTTTGTAATTTTTCTTCCCTTTCTTTTCCTCTTGTTGCTTCTTTAGAAGGTTGGGGCATTCGGCTTTTATGTGGCCTGGTTTTTCGCATTCAAAACAATTGTAAGAGGATGTGCTTCCTTCCTCTTTCTTGTTGGCCTTCTTGTTGAACTTGTAGGGGGAACTCCTCTTCTTTCTTAGGAATTTTTTGAACTTCTTCACCAGCAAGTTGAAGTTCTTTGAATCAGAATCTTCGGGGCTTGAGTCTTCACATATTTCTTTGCCTTTGACTGATTTTAAGGCTTTTAGAGACACTCATTTTCCCTTTTTGTCTTGCTGTTCATTTTCCTAAAAAATGTGCAGCTTTTGCTCATGCTCTCTTAGCTTTCCAAAGAGAGTTGCAAGGGTTAATGAAGTTAAGTCCTTTGATTCTTCTATTGTAGTAACCTTTGCTTGCCAAGATCTATCCAAGCATTGTAGCACTTTCAAATTTAGTTCTTCTTCTTCAAATTTCCTGCCAAGATCAACAAGGTGATTTATCAAGTGTGTAAACCTTTTTTGAAAATCAGAAATTGATTCACCATGATTCATTCTCAACAATTCATATTCTCTTATAAGAGTATGCTTTCTAGATCTTTTTACATCACTTGTTCCTTCATGAGTAACTTGTAAAGTGTCCCACATTTCTTTAGCAGATTTGCATTGAGAAATTCTAAAAAACTCATCAATAGACAATGCAGATGTAATAATGTTCTTTGCTCTATAGTCATATTGAGCTCTCTTTTTCTCATCATCACTCCACTCACTCCAATGTTTTTCTCTCTTTCCATCACCATCTTTGGTCATAGGGATATAGGGTCCATTTTCAATTGCATCCCACACAGCAATGTCAATTGCTTCAATGAAAATTCTCATCCTAATTTTCCAATAGACATAGTTTTCACCATTGAAAACAGGAGGTCTATGAATAGACACACCCTCACCATAAGGTAGGTTGTTGTTGGCCATTTTTGAAATCTTGATTAACACTCAAGAACCTTGCTCTAGATACCAATTGTTAGAAAAGAATGGCTCAATCCAAGAGGGGGGGTGAATTGGATTCTATGACACTTAAAATTTTTTCAGAGTTCTAAGGATCTTTATTTCAACTTAAACTTTTCTAATATGAATTCTCAAAGAAGTTCCTTGAAAGACTTGCTAATGGGAATGAGTCCTATATGCTTTCTTGATTAATCTTGATTAAGTTCAATGTTAAGAACACTTAATATGCAACACTTTGATTCAGTTTAAGGCAATATTGTGCATACAAACATATTAATCAAGATTATCCACTTTAACACTCAACCAAGATTTTGCTCAATGTAAAAGATAAGAGTGAGAGAGAAGAATGCACAAGTATTTTATCCTGGTTCAGCCACTCCACATGTGACCTACATCCAGTCCTCAATCATAACCTGATCAAGATTTGTTCCACTATCTCAATGAAGAAGTTTTACAAGCATACCACACATGCATATACTCCTACATTCAAGATAACCACTTTCTTGCCCCCAAGAAAACACTTCTTGTAGAAACCCACTACAAGAATTCCTTACCACTTGAGACACCTACTCAAGATTTCCCTTACACTTTACACAAGGAATTAAAGGAACGAATTCACTTGGAAGATGAACAAATCAGACTGTGAATTTCAAAAGTAAATCTTAATCTTTCTCTCCCAAGAATGTAGTGATGATGATGATCTCTTTCAAAGCATTTCACAAAATGTTTTTCTTCTAAGTTTCACAATGAAAACACTCCAAGAAGGTCATAAAGACTTCACAATATAGTTTTTATCTCATTGATTCTCAATTCATTCTCTGTTCTGAAGTTTCAAAGTGTGAAAGCTATTTATAAAAATTTCAAAATCAGATAATCGATTATTTTAAAGGATAATCGATTATTTTGCTCTTCATGATTTCTAGAAATCACTCAGGAACAAAATAATCGATTATTTTGCAGGATAATCGATTATTCCAGAGAGTGCTTCCTGGAATAATCGACTATTTCACAGATAATCAATTATTATAGCAAGGCTCTTTTCACCTGTTGCTGGAATAATCGATTACACTTAATGATAATCGATTATTTTGAGTTAGTTTTCAAAAACTCAATTTTATACTTCAAAAATCTTTTCAAGTATTTTAAATCATCATCATATTCACTCTCAGTCAATTTAGATTAAAATTAACTCATGCACAAAGCATACACATGCAAAATAAGCTAATCAAAACAACACAACTCATAAGAACTTATAAACTACTATTATACATTATGATATTCATATCTTCTTCTTGACTTAGTTTGTGTCCTTGGTCAGCTTCAACTTTCAGAATCCACCATTTGTTATCATCAAAACTCTCATGCTCTCTCATACTTTCAGAGCTTAGTTGATTCAGTACTCCATGAATCTCAACATTCTAGTAATGGCTTGGTGAAGATGTCAGCTAATTGAAATTTGGTTTCAATAAACCTAATATCAATATCCTGCTTTTGAATGTTGTCTCTAATAATAATGTTTTACATGTATGTGTTTTGATTTGGAATGCTGAATTGGATGTTTTGACAATTCAATGGCACTTATGTTGTTACATAGTATTGGAACTCTTTCAAATTGGAATGAATAATCAAGCATTTGTTGCCTGATCCATATGACTTGTGTACAACATGCAACAACAACTACATATTCAACTTTTGTGGTAGATAATGCAATTGTTGCTTGCTTCCTTGATCTCCACGAAACAAGTGACTTCCCAATCAGTTGGCAAATTACACTTGTGTTTTTCCTTTCTACCTTGTCTCCAACAAAGTCAGCATCACCATAACCATTAATCTCAAAGTTTGTTCCTTTTTCAAATCATAAACCATGATTAGTGGGTCCAATAAGGTATCTAAAAATCACCTATGCATCCATCACATACATGTTTTGATGAAGAAGATGAAAAAAAATAATAGATTCAGTGAAACATACATGTTTTAATGAAAAAGTAAGAATAAAAAAATATGTTTTGACGAAGGAGATGAAAAAAAAATCTCAAGAGATTTCTAGAATTCATTGATTTTCAATCAAATTTGTTTATAGAAAATAGAGATTCATATGTCAATCGAAATAATATCAAAAATGGATTTCACTATAAAAGAACATTGTTTTCCTAGTTTTCGAAACAGGTTATGAAATCCCAAATTATGTGAATGGAAACAAATAAAGAATATAGTGAGAAAAAAAACAGACTACTTCATTCCCATATGTTAGTCAACTCTCTCTTGATTACTCTTTTTATGTTTGTGCCATTGAAAATCACAATTGTAAAGTCTTTATTCACTGTCATATAGAGGTGGGTTGGATAGAATATTTAGAAGTGAAAAGTTGTAAACAGAAGACAAAATTATAGTAAAGTTGACATGTTTGTCACATTGGAAACCACAAATAGAGAGCCTTTCAGATTTTCATGTAGTGGTGGGTTGAATACAACATTGAGTACTGAGAGTTGTAAATCAAATGCAAAATTGTAATGATATTGACATGTAAACAATTATGCTTATTTGGTGAATGTTAGTATTTTGACGTGTCATGATATGAGACAATGGAAGGGTAGTCGCTGCACATAGACAATGGAAGAGCAACTGTCAGGGTGGGGAAGAGGCAAGGGATGACAGAGACAATAGATGAATGACCATCACACATAGGCAATGGAAATGCAACTGTCACAATTTTTGCTTCAACAGAGAAAGCATATGAAGATTTGGAGGATTTGGAGGGTGAAGAGGTGGCAAGGGACGACATATGCAATGAAGGAACAATCATCGCACGTAGGCAACAAAGGAATGGTTGTCACAATTTTGCTTTCGAGAAGCCATGACTGGTGAATATTTGGAGGATTTTGGGGATGGATGTGGAGGAGGTGGGTAGGTTGCGATGGACGATGGATGCAACAAAGTGTAGCCGTTGTAGGTGGAGGAGCTACGAATATGCTTGACAAGAGACATAGGATTTGTAACTATACAAATATATATTAGAATAAGAAAGACACTATAAAATGACAAATAAATATTTTTGTTGACATGACAATATTTTAGATTGATGTATTAACGTAATAAATAATAGTTCGACTTTTATATTATAAATAAAAGATTTGTGACAATTTTACCTTTAAACTGTTACAATTAAGACAATTTTTTCTTCAAACCACCACAAATTTCTCAAAGTGGGTAGGGGGAAAATTCACCAAAAAACAATATTCTTGTAAAGCAAAATTCATGAAATTATGAAACTTTTGGAATGAAAAGCATAATTAAGCCTAAATGGATGTTAGGTATGAAAACTCATTAGAAGGCAGATTTCACCCATATAAGGTCCTATGAGGTTTCATTTCTAACATATTTTATTTATCACTCAAATCAAGCTCGTGATAGAAATGTGATAGAAATGAGGAAAGTGTCTAAGAAGATAATTCTAGATAATAATTGTATACAATTATTGAAGAGAGCCTATTTACATGCATAGCATAACCTTTGACAGAATAATCAAGAGTTGGTCTTCTGTCCAAAATCTGAAACACAGCCATTGTTTTTATCAACTGCCATTTTATAACTAACATGGAAGCAATTTCAATCCTATGCGTACAATCAAGAGAATTCTATCATTGTGCATGATGAGCAATGGCTACAGTGCAGATTCATGAGCCTTTTTCTGGAACCACACAGCTGCAATTGTCACAAGGGAAGCATAAATTGAATTGGGTATCCTTTGCACCAGTCTCCCAACACCTGGAACCCCTTCAGTAGCTTTCTTTGTTGCCACTGCAACTGTTGGTGCTACAACCAGAGTGACAATAAGTTTTTGGCTAACAACAGTGAATGTATCAGCTGTCATTTGCAAGATGAAATCGAAAAATTCATCACGGTCAATCTCCCCATCAAAGTTGATATCACAGCTCTGCAAATTGTTATATGAATCACACTTAGTTTGAATACACCAATAATCATGATATACAGATTTTTTTCAATGTAGCTGAAGAATTTTTTTTTTTTTTTCAATGTAGCTGAAGAAAATGACAATTTATGTTGCTCTGATCAAAGTTGTACTTGAATATTTAGCTTATTTTTGCAGAGTTGAATTTTAACGTAGTTAAGCATGAGGAGAAACATTATTTGGAGGAAAATGAAAATGTGCCACTCAACTCCTGGCATATGATCAAATTTTTCCACATTGATTCTGATTGATAAACACGACAATGTGAAGTGCAGAACCCCTTTGATTATTTGTGCAAAGGCACGTACAGTCAAATTGTGCATCTCAGAACGTCACAAACCTGCATGCCTAGCGCACTTTCTACAAAATAACGGAATTTGAGCATCCAAAAATCCATAAGTTTCATTTGTATTCCAACCATTTTCTCGGTATTGAAACTATCTGGTAGCAGAGCTGAATATATCTTTGAAATGTGATGCAGAATGAATTCAAGTATTCTAAGACATCTCCGCAAGATCTTCACCCCAAGTGAAGATGATCTTTCTTTAACCGAGTCTAATATGAGATTTATGTTATTGAAATATCTTGTTCAGTTATCACTTATCACTATCAGTAAGCAGATGATGCAACATTGCTCAACAATACTGACAAAGGATCTTATTACTTTCTCCCTAAGGTATTCCCACACTGATAAGCTTCTCAAAATAGATTCGGTACCCACCTAGCAAAATCATGATCCACATAGCATAAATACCACTCCATAAATTATAAGCACTTAGAAAATTTTTTAACACATCAACTTTCAAGATATTTTCCTTGCAGCATTTTAGTTAATGTGTTGCGATCTATTTCTATGCTATCCCATCATTGACTTGTTAATCTAGAATTAGAATTTATGAACAACTTTATGGGATTGAAAACTCACCACATCACCAAAAGCTCTAGCATACAGTTAGTACACAACTCAAATCATGCCACAAACCATGGGCTTTGAACCAAAGTAGTCAGTTACGTTCTTATCCCATCAAATTGCGGCCTGTCACACATGCCAACAAGTCCCCCAATAATTTAAGCTATCTTTGGATTGGTGAAACATGGAATGGAATATAATTGTATTATACCATTGTTTGAACCCACCATAGCTCTGACTTTCCTCTACCATTTACGAAGATTTAAAATAAGGACACTTGTTCCAGGTCTACTTCGTATATGTTGTTTTAGAGTAGTGTTGGATTTGTATGTGACACTATTGCTACCTTTCAACCCAGTATCAGCAATTTGCCTTAGTCCTCTGAATTCTAGATGCCTAAACATAAAAATGGAACTTTTTATAACTTCGAAAGATAAGAATTTAATTTTATGTAATAATTCATTCTCTCTCTATATCTAGGGAACATTCAGACTTTCTTTTTCCTCATCTCACCTTGTTTAGCTAAACATCTTCCTATAGAATAGCATTATACATCTAAACATGCGTTCTTTTGAAAGATGGTTGAAGCAAATTCATTTGGAGAAATTTCAGCAGCGTTATTCTTTTTCAACAGACTGGACTATTTCGGGTGTGTTTAGGAAAAAATTACGTTCAACGTAACTTACTTTTAATCAAATGGGACAAAAGAGTTACTTCTCCATTTAGTACATTGGAATGTGTAAAAGTCTATTGAATGAATTTCAAATGATAAACCAAACACACACTTCGTCCTTCCAAGACGTACCTTTATGTATAATAACCCTCTTCACTTAGATAAACTCAATTAGATAAAGTACATTCAATACAAGAACTAGTGAAAACAAGAAGGCATCTTTTCATCTTCACTCTTCATCCATCCATTGACTTAAAAAAAAAACTGCATTCACACATTTTTCAAAAAAAATATAATATAATAATAAAATACAATAAATATTTAAGTATTTCCGCCAATCGCCCAGCACATTCCCCATTTTTATTTATCCATTTTTATCAAAAAAAAATTTGCCTCCACCTATCCTCTCACCAATTCTCATTCAATACACTCACTTATTTGTGTTCTCACATGCACTTTTTTAAAACTTCTGAAAAACCATAATCAACTAATTATTAATTTGAAAATAGAAAAAGCCAGAAAATAAACTTATTCCAATTTCAAAAGTATGACATCACATTACAGGAATTGGATGTCCAAAGAGTATTGAAATTTTTGAGGATCATAGGAGTATTCAACTTTTAGTTGTCCTCAACATGAATTGTTTGGATTGATTATTCAACTTTCTTCTATAACAGATTAACAGTTATAAAAACTTGATCTCAAATATTTTTACTTTCTGAGCATAATAGATTGATGTTCTACAAGTGACATGCTAATCAAGTCATATTGATATCATCCTCATCTACAAATTCTGAATCTGCGAATTTTCCTATACTGGTCCAAAAAAATATGACTTTTAACAGCCACGAAAACCAGATTGTTGGAGTCCTTCTCAAATTGTATACTAAGATTCATTACTTGACTGCCATTTTAAGATATGATTTAATACAAGGGCGATTTATATATCTTGACTTGGAGCATGCTTTAAAACAACGAGTTTCATAGGCCATTTTGAACTCCTTTCATTGTCACTTTCACCAAATATGCACTTAATCAGATACACATCTGCCACAGTTATCCCTCAAATGAACCAAAACTGTACCATAAACAATTTAAAAGATGCAGTATGGTTGCTACTCGGATTCAAACAGTAAATTGTTATCATAATGGAATAAATGAACTGGTAACCTAAATTCAAAAGATAAAGAAATGTATACAGTGCATTACATGGTTATAACAGAAAGCACCATAGCATAGATTTATTTCTACAGTGTAAAATTTTCATATATATAAGTAAATAAAGTACCTAATTTGATCTCATTATGTCACAATATAGTACCTCGATGACTTCTTTGACTTTTTGTTTTGATGGAGGATCAAAATGGGGACCAGGAATGTACTTGTTAATATCACTACAACATAGAAACGGCTCCCTTTTAGAAGAACTAATCAAATTTATTCAGTATTTCAAAAACAAATTATCAATGCCAACAAAATGTTGAATACAACAATGAAGCAGGCTTCTTACTTGTACACAAGTAAAACAGAAATATACAGATCTTCAAAACTCAATTTATCAGTTTGCTTTTGATTCTGTACTTTCTCAAAAACTCTATCTGTTATCTTCCTTATTTGCCTTTTCCTCCACTCCTTACCTGTGTAAAGTGAAAAGCTATTAAACATAAGCAAGGGCATTGAACACTACAGTTGACCACTCAACTGTATCCTATGTTTAATATGCTGTATCTTACATGTGCAAGAATGTCATTGTCATGTCCGGTTAATGAAGGCATAAAAACTGCATTACCATTAAAACCAGTTATCTCATCATGTTCATGAAGAATAAAATAAGAATGTTTCCCACAATCAAGGTAGTGGGATTATTGAAATACCAATTATGCTGAACAGAATCATTAATATTTTAAGGGTTAGCCTTTAAAGTTAAAAAATTGAAAGATTCACTAAGTAATATCATATTAAGGTAGTGAGTCAAGATCGATTCTCGTCAGTATTAAAATAATATTTGGTCAATAAAAATCATGTCCTACAAGTGATGATTAATTTTAGTTGTCAGCTTTGAGATGCTGTCCGGACTGTCTTAACACAAAAAATAAAAATAAAAAATCTTCTGCCTGGATTTAGGCTACTTGAATACTAAATTAATATCTTTGGTTTGGCTGTCAAAAACCTCTTTGAAACAATCAACTGGTCAATTCTTGGATGGGATACTAAAATTACTGTGAAGATTCTCACTCTCATATTTTCTTATCCTTTTGCCATGATTCCCATCTATCATATTTCTCTTCTATCCAACATTTCAAGTTGGGCACATAACCAAATCCAAAATTTGTATTTGGTCTTCTCACTTTGCATATTAAAGTAATTAAACTCTAAGCTCCACTCACTCTGGACTCAAATCACAGGACTTGATGTATATATGGAACAAATGATGATACTGGCTACAATAACAATTTATTAAAAAAAAACACAACTTTTGACTTAAAAAGCACAACATCAAACAGATCCAAAAGACGATTCAAAATAAAAAAACTGTAACGGATATACACAACTTCCCAATTTAAAAGCAAATTTAGTGCCTAATTTCCAGCAGAAATAAAATAAACAAGTTGAACTGTTGAACAACTCTCTTATAACTTGTTACTACTTTACCAGAGTCATCACTTTCAAATTCAAGCCACACCCCACTTAAGAACCATAATTATTTCTTTCCAAAATCCTTAGCTAACAAACATATTCATTACAGCATGAAACCCCAACATCCCCAGATTTCATAATTTGATGCACAACATGGTAAATTCAATCACAGTACAGCCTACTCATTTATATGGAGACAAGTGGGGTTCATATATTTACGATCCAAAATCAAATATTTTGATTATTTATCATTATTATTCTTTGGTAATGTATACAAATGAATGACCCTTGATTGTGGGCACAAAAGGGCAATTCGGGAAGAGAAAAACAAATGAAGTAACGAAGAAATGAAAGAAGTTGAGGAACAAAAATGGAACAAGAGATGAGAGGTAAGAACAAATGAATAATTGAGAAGGGAAATAGGGAATACCCTCTAACTTGTCAAAGACTTGTCCCATGGTATGATGAAACCAACCAAGGTTGCTCTGTCTTGTTTTTGATGTTTGGTTTCTGTGTCTTTCAAGATTTAACACTTCGGAGTGAGCGTATCCATGCTGTTAGATAGATAGATAGTATATGGTATAGAAGTATAGAACAATATAAATTAATAATTAATAACAATAAAATCAACTTTCAGGCTCTGAATCACAGGCTTACGCTACTCTTTTGATTGATTTTTTTCTTTTTTTATCATCACTACTCTTTTGAATGATCCACGCCGGGTACGTCACGTCATTTCGTTTTTCTTGTCTTTTTTCAAGTAAATTTTAATTTAATACAAAACTAACAATATTTACGAAATAAAGTTTATTTTATATTATTAATTTTTTTAATACATAAATAATTTGAAATATAGAAATTATATAATAATAATTTATACATCTATAGATATTATAATGAAGATATAAGGACTAAAGTCATTTTTATCTCTACTTTTTACTAAATTTATTATTATACTCTTCAAATGTTTAAAAACAAATTATTTATGATTTCTCTCTTATCCCACTAACAATCATATATTTCATTATCTTTATTGTTATTTTATTTTTAACTTTTAAAAATGTAAGAAACTAAGGAATAATGAGTGTCTCTTTTTCCTACTTGTTTATATTATTAATAAAGATAATGGTTTTTTTTCACACACCATTTTGATTTTTAACTCCCAAAAGGCTAAAACATTCTTTCTTTCCCATATTTTTTTATTTAGTTTAGGCTAAAACATTCTTTCTTTTCCATAATTTTATTTTATAAACTTCTCAAACCTTTTAAATAAATTTTAAAAATTGATTACACACTCAATTTGTTAATCACTCGCACATATTTAATTTTAATTATTTTAATTATTTATTTTATTTTTATTTTTTAAAAAAATATATGGAGACATGTGATCGAAGCCGTATCCGGTCAAATAAAATAATTAAATGTAGTACTAGGAAGTTGTCCTAAGTCGTCCCTTAGGGACCATTCTTTTCTGTCAAAGGATCAAACACGAAGGGGGGTTTGGTTCAAATTTTTGAGCTTAAAACACACTAAGACGCAAGGTAACACAGCAAGTAAAATAGATTGACTTGTTCGGATTGTAACTCTCTTATCCTTGGTTCACAATAAAATTACTCTGTCAACCACTTAATCCTTGTTCCATCCGAGTTAACCAACTAAGCGAAGATTAACTCAAGACTTCCCTAAAGCAAACGTATACAACATTGAACCTCTTCACAGATTAAGCAATTGTAGCATTAAGGACAGCTCATTAAGCATGAACACCTTAATACAGAGATTTAGTGAAGAATGACCAAGTAGAACAAAGATATGCAAAACATATCCAACCTCAAATAGAGATTACAATCCAGAGCAAGGAGCCAACCCCAAGGGTTCAGCCTTCCATTAAAACGAAAACAGAAACGAAAATGCAAGGAAGAAGAAGAACAAGAAATGAGTAATTAGTATTCTTCAAATATAAAGGTTCAGTTTCTACAACCATAGAAGAGAAAAAGCAAAGAAAAATGCCCAGAGATGAGCTCCAAAACAGAGAAAAACGTAAAGGAAAAGGAGAGCAACGTGGTCACATCAAGTCTACCCAAGTTGGTGGTTGCATGGTCAGCCCTAAGACCTAAAAAAAGAAACCCTAAACGAAAGTAGGCCTCTCCCCCGTGTCTTGCCCAAAATGAATAAAACAAGGTTAACAAAAATGTAACATGTTGTTGATGTGGCGTTGACATGGCGGGTTGGTGTTGACATGGCGCTGACGTGGCACTTTATCTCTTGAAGTCCAAAATTAATATTAAGCCCAAAAATGCTCCACAATTAACCTGAAAATAATTGATAAACAAAAATTAGACCAAGTGAATCAGAATTAATTAAAATTTGAATTACTGGCCCAATGAAACCCAAACAGTAAAACTGTACAATTAATAAGCGATTAAGCTCAAATCAACAATTAAAATAAGTACAGAAAGATAAATAAATAAATAAGGGAAAATAATGATTCATCAACATGAAATAGTTTTTTTTACATTAGTAATATATAAATGTAATAACCTATTTTTGTATACACAAATTTTTTGACTATATTATTCTTTTAACTACTTTTAAATCACTTTCTTCTACTATTTTTTTTTTTTATTTTTCATAAACCTCTGACAAATCATTCATTTCTATATTTTTAAATTTTTAAATAATAGAGACACCTAATGTCTCTTTCCATTAATTATTATAATAAAAATTATTAACAATAATAATAGTAATCTTCTTTATAATAACTAACTGAAAAAGATACTTCGTGCCTTTTTTTATTAAAAAAAGTGTAGTTATTTGAAAGTGAGTTTTTCTGGTTCAAAAAAATTTGAAACAAAAAAGAAATAGTAGAGTGGGATAGTTTGAGACTTGGATTTAATAAAAATAAATGATGCTCGAAGGGATAACCTTCACGCAGTCAAGGTTTCATGAGACTAGTTTCTGGCGAAGCCAATCTAAAGAGTGGAATGTCGCAACCCGAAAATTTTCGATCTCGTGACCTATGGTTTAGACATCCTTTTAAAAGTCTCATTAATTAAGGAATGCCCGGACACCAGACTAATCCTTAATTAATGGTTTTGAAAATAGGTTCATGGAGTCGCCACCAATATTTTATTCAAAACATTAGAAAAAGAAAAGGTTTTTAAAGATCCAACAATGGCCTTGATAACCAGAATTGGGTTCGGGGGTCGGTTACGTGTGCCCTCAATCGGTACTCTATGATGAAGTTAACATGATAAGAATTAATAAATTAAATATTGAATCCCCTTTGTTAATATTTATTTACATATTTAAAATATAAATTAAGCGATTAACCATAAAATATCTACATTATGAAGTTTGTTATAACAAAAAAAGAGATAAAGATGAGAAATAAAAGGGAGAGAAGAAGATTGACTGAAATACCTTTTGAACGAGCTTTATTGAATCTTCAAATATGGAGAAGGTGCTTTGTGGCGACCTTTCACACTACAGTATGCCTCACAGATCTCAAGAAATATAATAGGAGGGAGAGAGAAGATAGAGATGCGACACAAATCTCAAGAAATACAATAGAAAGGAGAGAGATAGAGAATTTTCGTGCTCAAAGGAATCTTATTCGAAATTTCTCTGGCTACCCTGAGAACTGTGCCCAAGGCCTCTATTTATAGGAATCATAAGGGGGCCAGAACAGCCTGTTCTGGATTCGAAACGGCCCGTTCTGGGCAAGTCGTTATGTGCAAATTACGCACCCTGGAATGGCCCATTCTGAAAACGGAATGGCCCGTTCCAGAGTGTAAATTAACACAAAGTTGTCCTTTCCAGAACGGCCCGTTCTAGTATTGGAACGACCCGATCTGGTATTGGAACGACCCGTTCCAGCCTACGAATCCTAGGTGTTTTAGTCACGTTGGAACGACCCGTTCTGATATTGGAACGGCCCGTTCCGGGGTTCGGAACGGCCCGTTCTGATTTTGGAACATCCCGTTCCGAGCTACTAAAACCACCTTATTTGGCCTTTAGGCCTTCTAATATCTTGTCTTGTTGTTTGTCCACTTCGGAAGCTCCTTCCCTTCATAATGTAGGTCCATTTCCTTGTTTGTGTGCCCCTGGACGAAATTAGGTGTCTACAGCTGCCCCTCTTTACTTGTCCTTTAGAGTAGCTATGCGTTGCTTTTCCAAAGGCAAGTAAAGACGTAGACATTTCGTCTAGGTCTCCTCCTCGTCTCTTTGGTGTTGGCGCTTCTACGTTCCTTCTCTTGGATAAGTGTATTTGCTCGTGTCCTCGCCCTTTAGAGCAGTTGAGTGTTGGTTGCATACTTTATTAGGTAACAAGGCTGACGAACTGTACACCTGATCTTCGATCTTCAAGTAGATGCTCCATTGTTTCTTTTGTGATAGTGCGTTCTTTTATTTGTAGCTTGTTGAAGAGGGAGCATTTTCGTAGCTCAGCTTCCCTCGCGGCTTTGTCATATACCAGATTGGGAGATGACTATAGTCTCTCCAGACCTTTCCCTCACGACTTTGTTGTATACCAGATTGGGAGGTGACTATATGTTAGAAAAGAATGGCCCAATCCAAGAGGGGGGTGAA